AACCTGAAAATGTTTCAAAAGAAATCATGAGTATATAATGACGTAAACTTATATTATCTTAGCCATCTTATGCGAGGACAAAAACGGCTAACTTGAGACAGATGAAAAATATGGTGCCAGATGTTGACTACGAATTTAAATAAGATAAAGCAATATTTAACTGATGTTATAGAACTACCTAGAAAGACTACGTCTAAACGATGAGTTTAGTGTTGGCTGAGAAACATTAGAGAGCGGTATTAAACTGCACCTAAACCTCTTTAATAATAGTGCGCTGATGGTGACTGAAACACCAGCGACTGACCTGTTTGAGTTGTCGAACACGTAGATCTCCACCAAAATCTAGATTTCAGTAGAGCAACCAGAGCGAGTATGCGCGTACAAATACGCCACTGCATGCCCATGCACATCATTTGTGATGGTACCCCCTTGCGCTCGCGCGTCTGATGGTTCGGTACGTTAAATGAAATATGTGGATTTTTTTACAACATGATTTTTGGCAAGCGTCCCTCTACGGTGAGCTTAACATCTGGCTTTCTCGCTTTCTTACAAGCAACCTCGTACTTCTGAGCTTCCAATTATTCGCACGCTCATATTTTGCTTTTGCTTTTTTTTTTTTTTTTTTTGCGAACAACGGAATTGAATATTGATGACATATGCCACCTGAACCAGTTTTGTCGCGAAACGCATAGAAACAATGTAAGAAAGACTTTCATACCAGGCCCGCAAATGAAGATGCCGAAGAAATGCAAAGTGTCAGCGTACCTCAGCGAGACTGCAAATATGTATCTCAGAGAGATAAAAAATAAATTAACATTTCTAAGGGTGATTTGAAAAATAGAAATTGTGACAACAGCCAGTGCAATTTCTGTCATAAGGTTACGACAACCTATGATAGAATTCACTCGCATAGGCTTATCCACTTCCTTAAATAAGACTCTATACGTTTGTCACACAGGAGATTATGAATTTTCCGGTGTGACCTCTCCGTCCTCGTACAGCTGTCCACGAAGAGAGCCTGTTCTACAAATAGTTTTGTCTCTAACGCTACAGGGTATCACGGTAAAGCACGAAATTGCAAAAATATATGGTTGTGCTACTCAGGAAAAAACATGTGGACACACGACGTTTCGGGCGGACGCCTTTCTTCAAGTGATAGACTGAACAAAGGCAAGGAAAAAAAAGCAAGGGTCATACACGTCACAAAATAAGGGGGAGGTACATTGGAGGACAGGGAGGGAAAGGGAAAGGCGAAACCGTTAGAAGACGGAGTACAACTTCTTCGCTTGGCATCTAATGCAATAAATAAAATAAAACAAAAATGGGACGCGCAAGTGACACGGCATTCTGAACTTGCCTTATGGCGTCCACCGCGAGAACACGACACCCAGAATGGTCCGCGGGCGTCTCCGGCCGCCGCAACCACGACCAGTACGGTTGCGACGGGCGGACGCGCGGTCCGGGATCGGTCCGAGGGAGCCCCCCCCGCCCTGGATATCGGGTGACGCGTGTTAACTTAAGAACCGTTTGTTAAAAAAAAAAAAAAATAAAAAAAAACTGTTTTTTAACAGCAGTAGGGACAAGTTATTGCTATTCGTTTTCAGTGTTAATTTATTTGCGCCCGAGTGTCGACACCTCCGATATAGTAGTATCACGCTTACAGTCACAAAAAGTAGCTTTTCTTTTTTCGTATACTATGTGCGTGTATGTATTTCTAAGTAACTTGCAGAACATAAATATGGGCACGTAGATGTGAAAGAACTCGCCATTATGAAAGCTTTTAAGTTGTATTATTTAATTTTTATGAAACATTCACGGGGTAATATAGATAAATGCGCTCTTGGGACAGAAATGCAATTACATTAGTGTTATAAGGCACACCAAAAAAGCAAAAGATGGCAAAACGTAAACACAATTTGTCACAAAACGCAGCAAAAAATTAACAAAACTAGCTTCAAAAACTTGCATGCGTTGAGTTTTGTACCGACGACTTCCGGTTGCTATACTTAAAGAGGTAATTAAAGTCTAGTTTGTCGGTGTTGTCAACTAGGAGAAACATGAAACAGGTGGATGTGTATTGCACAAACTTACCAGAAATATAGGGTTTTCTACGGAAGAAGAGCTTTTGAATCAATTTTAATCTTTTTGAAGCCCTGAAATTTCTTTTTTGAAAATACAGAACCGCGAATAAATTCCTAAAAAAGCGATAGCACATACAAAGTTGTTCTAACTGCTTATTATGAATCGCGCTGCTCAAAAATATATAGGGGTGCTACAAAATACTGAAGTGCCTAACAGGCCTTATTTGAGCTAGTTAGTACATGTAAATATATGGAGGTCAGTTTGAATTAGACAAACGCAAAAAGAGTGAAGGAATATACACACCAATTTTGAAAATCAATCTCACTATAGATAAATTTTTTTGTCAGTAGTATTTTCAGATGCGAGGTAGAATGCGCGCCGAATAAAAGCAAAATGGCATGTTATCCTTAGCAGTCACATGATTGACGTATAATTCCACATAAAGAGTACTCTAAAGTGCTTATAATTCGTCACTCGCCCTTCACGGGTACAAAAAGTAAATGTAATTATATGCGTTTGGAATCCAGAAAAGCTTGAAGGACTTCGTTTTTGACATCGTGCGATTTGCCTTCCACGGCGCGAAACACTCACATTAGGAACCGAAAAGGGCGTTACCTTAAGACCGATGGACACGTACATGGCTGTATGTCGAATCACTGAGATTATGGCAGTCTCACAGTTTTGTATCATACACAACTGTGAGTTAGTCAGTATTTTATAATCTACGTCTAATAGTACCTAAGTGTTATAATGTAGTTAAGGATTTCTTTTTGTTTGTTCCACGAGTAGTGACAAAGCTAGATACCAGACTGCCTAAAAATGGCATGCGAAGTGGCCGCCAAGAAGAAAATTTTGTAAGGGCTGGAAGTTTTTTAGTATCCATTGACTGTGCCATCTGTCTGGCGAAATGTATAGCACTAATTCGTAGCGGATACGGTGCTTGTTTATATTGAAACTTGTTGCAGACTTGAAACTCATTTTACAAGAGACAAAGTTATATGTATTAGTTACGAAGCCTACAAATACGGCTATTGCACTTTTCTACATTACAAACAAAATTTAAAAGCCGACTTGTTGAAACCGTAACTCTCTCAGCTGTAGGTTCCTTCACCTAAAAAATAAAGGACGGTCATTTATGAGGAAAGTAAACTATTTTTATATCAACATTGAAGAATATCAGTATCGAATATGAATGCGTCTTACCTTCCTGGCGCTAGTGAAAACACGTTAAGTTGTAGCACGGTTTAATCTCTACCTTAGCCACCACTCTTTCGTAAAACAATTCCCACACTGCGTGTGCTTTCAGATGCCGTTTCGAACATACATATAAAACAGCGATCAAGTTTTAATACCGATTCGCCAAGCATAAGGGGGCTGTTCAGAAAAAAAATAGAACTAATAGTTTTAGATTGTAAAAAAAAAATGAATATATAAAACCCTTTGTCGGCGTTTGTATTTCCGGTATGTGACCTAAATAAGTGACCAAAAACTTTTTAGCAATTCTACAGGGTTGAATTAAATATCGGCGGAAGTTAACATGCACCTACCTCAGGCATGTGTTAAGTCTCCTGGTAACCGCCACCCTCGAACGCTTTCAATCTGATGACATCCTTCGTCGGCGACGGCGATTTGTCCTTTTAGAGCCAGTGAAATGAGCCAGCATAAAACATTCGTTACAACGCTCAACGGGAAGTTAATCCCTTCCTCATCGTTGCAGTGACCAACTCATCCGGGCGTGCTCTTTCACGGCCACTTGTTAGCGGGCGTAAGACCGGGTGACATAAGAACGACTACAACTAAAAGTGTTTATTATGTGAACTCTGAAGCTTTGTAGACTCATTGACTTACTCTACCTGACGTGCTATATTTACTTCAAGTGACTTCATGTGTAGTCTTTCGCTCATCCAGGCGAATGTAGGAATCCATACATACACAGTCGCCTGCGTGCAAACGATACTTTCATGCGCGTGAACGCAGACACATAAAGACACACTCGCACGCACATACACGCACACACACACACAGATCATCTAATAAATATCACTCGCTCATACATAGAAATGCACATATATTGCACATACCAGAAGGTGGGGTAGTAACATGGTGTACACATGCACAGCTAAAGCTTTTTATAAGAGACTGTCGGAGAAAACAAATATCACACACTTAATTTGGCAAGCGGTCCGTTCAATCAATGCCAAGATGCATTTACATCGGACAAGCCCCTAAAAGCGGCGCCACCTTGAACTTCACCTCATCAAAAGACGTATTTTCAAACTATCCACTCCTTTAGTTTTTTTATTAGAGAGGCGTGTCCCATAAAACGAGAATGCTTTACTTAGCACCGCCTATGAACCTCAGTTGTCTCCTAGAGAATATTCAAAAAGCAGCGGAAATATTACACACATCAAAAATGATCAATGAATCGACATGAGAAAGCAACAGCAACTAACCCAGCGTCATATTTACAGCTACCTTCGTACAGAACAATTCCGAAGAATATATACGGCGGCACTGTTCATCATCAGTCACAAATCCTCACACCCACCCTCACGTCGACGTTTCTCTCTCTCTTTCTTTATCCGTCCTACCCCTGCGGACGTTGCTTCAGCCTTGAAGATGGCCGTGCGACGATTCGGAATACGTGAGATACAAGCGCGAGTTCTCTATCCTCTTCTTTTTACGTCGCTGTGCTTGCGTGAGCGTGTGTGTGGCTGCGTGCGCTTGTTTGGTCTTTAAACTTTAGGGGGGAGAAGCGCGTACTTGGAGATACTGGTGAGGATGTCTTCTTCTGGTGGAACGGAAGTCACGTGGTTTGGGACGGAACTTGTCAACGTATAAAAGCGGAGAGTGTGCCGTCCCCTGTCTTCGGCATTCGAACTAGGTGGTCTTCGCGTTACGGATTAGCTCGCACGGCAATGAAGGTGAGTCCTTCGGTTTCCTTCACTGCAATGCTCAGTCAGCTCAATTCTGAAGGGTTTGTTTGGTGTCAATGTTATCTAAAATAATCTAAAATTATTTTATGGCTTCTGGATCTTTCCATCTCGCAGTGCAACTTATTACACATGGAGGATCAACCAAGTGTACATGGTGCGTTTTCGTGCCAACAAGAATGGGCTCAGCACAACTGTATTTGTTTATACGACTTTTTTTTGGGTAAAGAAGCTGCATAAAGCATGCCTATGTTTTCAATTTACAGGTTCCCTTTTTTTCGAATACATCTGATGGTAACCCTATTGTGCGTTAGCTCTTCCTTTTAAACCAAGATATTTTGCAATTGGCTTGCTGTGTTAGAGCGTAGCATCGGGAATCATACTCGACCGATAAATATGTTCACAAATGCAGTCAACTTTTCATTGCAAATTTACTTTTTAAGTCAATCAAACAACGTTTTTAGGAATGCACAAATATATTAAAATATGCATAATCGCTCACAAATAAATTATAACTTAACCGCTTTGCGTTTTCTTCTTCTTTTAGGACCCAACAAATGAAAATACTTTTTATTCTGAAAGATATGCTTTGTTAGAAATAAGGCAGGTTAGAAATGTCAACCTCTTATTCTACCTCTCCTTACTAACCAGTAATGCTTTGACACCCCAAAAAAGATTACAATTAGATGTCTAAGTAAGCTCTCCTATTGCGTTTATAATTTCATTTGAAAACAGAAGTCGTTTGTATGATTTCTTGGCTCGACGTAGAAACACCGAAAGCAAGGTTTGATTAGTCATGCGTCATATTCTAAACCCTGACACGTACGCCTCAGAATTTAGATTAAAATGTTTCCTAAGCAGCACGCCTGCGCATTTCGCATCTTGCTGTTGATCATTTCAGGTAACTTGGTACTGATCATCAATCATAAAAAAATACAAAAACGTAAGCTAGGGTTAAACATTTTTAACAAGAATTAATCATATCAAGGCTCATGGTGATACATAATTAAATATTTTGATTCACTTATTTGCTTTTTATAATTCTGTTTTACAATGTTGTTTTCGTGTTTTATTGAAGTTTACAAATAAATTCCAGAAAACATCTAAAAAATGCAGTCATGTTTAATATTTTGTTCACTTTATTTTAATCTTCTAAATTTTCATTTTACGATTTTTTTTTCTCTAGTCACACTTCATAGATCAATCCCAGTAAACATAAACCATTCAAATATGTGCACAGTGTCTCAAACGTTACAAACAAAAAGATGCTATGTGTTAGATGGCTTAGAACATTCTACAGAAACAACTAGGACTTCATTGAACGAAGCTAGTTCCTAGTATACCAACAGAAAAGAACTGCTGACTGCTGCTTTAAATTTCGTTCAGTTCAAATCTAAAAAAAAAAAAATACTCAGATGGTTCCGTGTCAAAGAGCATTGTGAGCTTGATGAGGGCCTAATTTCTTCATCCTCCCAATGTCTCGACACACGAGATCCGAAGAATCACTGCCCGTAATATATTGCCTCGGTTTAATGTCAGCCGTAAATTAAGAGCCTCCGCATCCCCATCTTGCGATCAGAGGAGATAAAAAAAAAACTACAGTTGCGCAAACGTTTTATTTATTGTGGCTGCTCTTTTCTCGGTGTATTCGTTGATGTCATTTTGAAGGAGGCAGTAAACTACAAGCTGGAGTGGAATAAGAAGTGGCATCTGAACCTGCGTAATCTCTTAGGCCTCTTATCTCCCAAGGAGAGATTTTGATTCCTCCTCAGTCTTACTCGCCGCACGTCAGCCTATACGTCAGCCTTTCAGACGTTACGTCCTACAGGGTGACTTATATATTGTTTTAAATATTATCGCAACAATATACTTTATTTTTCAAGTAGAATTGATCGAAATAACTACAAACTATACGTAACATGATCCAGAAGAGTGGCCTCTCTCGAATAGTTCTAAGCAAGGATTGACGGGGGAAAACGTATACACGGAATAAAATAAAATCAGACATTGAACGTTGAACAAGGTAATTCACATCAATGCTTTTAAAATGACGACGAATAAACAAGCAAATGTTGTGACCAGAGTGTGAGACTCTTTAATAATTGCGAGGAATACATTATTGTTAACGCTTTATACTACACCAACTTATAAACAAACTGGAGCGCTACTAACGGCTCGCCACCGTAGCCGCGCAAGCGCGATGGGGTGTGGGTAACAGGGGCGTAAAGACGGGAACAGAACGTCGCAAGTCCTGAGCGCTAATATTGGTGGTCCCGAAAAAAAGAACGAAAGGGAAAGCGACAGAAGAATGAAAAAAGAAAGTAGAGGAAAGCTTGGGCTTGTTGGTTTTGCCGCGAAATTATTCAGTGGTTAAAGCACTTGCCAACTTTATAATTTTTTTTTATCAAACGCGCGACGTCAGTGGCGTAGGTCTTTTCTACCAAATAAGTACAAAAGAAAGCAATAAAACGATACATACAGACCTTAGAAGTGATAGCCTTCGGCTTATTTTGTTTATAATAAAGTGATCTGAGCTCATTAGAACCACCTATGGCCGCATTTATGCCCCGGCGTTTTGAAGTGGCCAGAATGCCATGGGAACTTTCCCTCTATACTTCGTCTCACCCTACGATGGACTAAAGGCAAAAGGTACGGACCGCCAGAGCCAATCACGAGCCATTTAGAAATTGCGTGGTATTGTGCTTTGATGCACGTATCAGGGTTCGCGTCTCGGATCACTGACGGAATGGGTGGACAGTGGTTCGAATTGAATAGCAGTGAGTGACTCAAGAATGTTACATTGCAAAGAAGCCACGACGTACAGGCTGTTTGCAGTGTCAAAGCTATAGAAATGATGCAGCGTTTTGGGGTTCGGAGCATTATTTGTCCACCCCTAATAAATGCTAGGCATGTCCTAGTTTAGCATGGAACGTGATTGGACCTGGTGGCCTGTGGCTTTGGCCTTTAGTCCATCGTAGGATGAGACAAAGTATAATAATTATATTAACTCTATCGTCAACGAGAACAGCCCCTATTACACAACCAAAAACCATTGAAATGCAATGCTGTCAGCGTCGCTTTGAGTACCGGTGCTTTTCTCCGTGTTGAAATTGGTGATTTCTTCTTACTAGGATAGTCTGACTACTTTAGTGGCCTCAGTTAAATTAACAAGGCTCGTTGCCTTGTTAATTATATGACGAGAGGCGATTCGTTCCACGTGGACGTCGCAGAATGGTCGAAAAACACCTGATTCATATAATGAAATTTCGCTCGCTATTTTCAGTCGCGACGTCGCTCCGGCTGCAAAGGAAACATGGGCGGTGATGCCGACGTCGATACTAAACATCGCAAGCAGACTTGGTCACGCCAATAAGGCATAGGAAGCTGCTGATGTCCAGCGATAATGTTAGTCAACGTCCGCTTGTATCTACTGTCTATACCGAGCCTATTCCCACCCCCAAACTTTACATTTAAATCTCTAACGAGACTTACACTTACTCCTTAGGGCAATAACCGCGGGCCGTAGTCGTTTCAACAAGCAGACGACAGTGTGAACAAGCAGGCGAGTTTTAAATAGAAGACTAAACGATCAGACACCATTTGTACGTGAAGACGCATGGAACATGGTCTGGACAACTTGGCGGTTTTCCCGCCTTCATGTTGGAAGAAAACGAATTAATCTGACGATCACAAATCTGCGTGAATTCGACCCAAAGTGCTTCATTCAAAGGCAATCGTGGTCCGACGGTGTCTGGTTTTCACTTTTCAAGGCACCTACCCACGTTTTCGGACAAATCGGGCAGGCAGAAAAAATGTGAATATTGATCTCTACAATTTCGTTCCTGGTTTCTTCTAAGCCAAATTTGGGTCTTCTGCCCACAACCCTGACCGGAAGTGCGCCCGAAGCGCCACGGCCGCGGCGTGACGTAGGAGATTTAAGTTAGGGTATGGGCTCGTGATTGGTTATAGGCGTTCTTCTCTGCTGATGCCGCATTCTTTTTGGCTGACGAGAGATAATGAGATGCTAGGGACGCATCACAACATGCGTTTTTTGAGCTGTTAGTAACTGTACTTGTAAATCTGCTTGAAAGCTTACCGAGAAAAAAAAAATATTGAGTTGTGTTTTCTCATTTACAAATAGTTTAAACGCCATCTCACTTTGCTAGCATTCTTCGTTTGCTTAAGGAAATATACAGGGTGTGTTCTATTTTTCTTTACAGACCGTTTAGAGAAAAAATAAAGGCCGTGAAAGCTACACTAATGCGATCTGTTATACAGCTAGGGGGCAATATCATGGGGGGGGGGGGGGGGGGCGGAGGGCTAGTTGTCTCTTTGTGTCGAATAATGAGCTAAAATGTATTATTTACCTTTTTCATTCATGAAATAAACGATATTATTTCAATCTGCAACTTTTTGAAAGTAACCGAGAACCGCTAAATCAGTCAATTTCAAAAAGATTTGAGAAGCTTGCGAAGCAGGCGTTAGTACGCTAGAGTTACCTTTCGTGCTACAGGCGCAAGGCTGGTGGTCCGAAAACACGGATGCTAACACAACCGCGCTCTCATGATATCAAGAATTTTCATGAGAAAATTCCCGACACCAAATGAAGATCGTTCTAGGGTGTTTTATTCGGTCACTTCGTTCCGATAACGATACCTTGATACTCGATGGGCGTGTTTGCAAATGCGTATGATTGCTAATGGCGTTAAAACGATATTCTAAAACTTTCTACGTTAAAACGATATTCTAAAACCCCTGGCCCGCTAATTTGTCATAGACATACATTTTTTGGTTTGACCGTAGGTATAAAGCTGGTTGATAATCTGTGAAAGACAACTCTTAAAAAAAATGAACTTAACAGCCCGTGTTAGAAAAAAAAAAGATTGCTGATTAAATTCAAGATGAAACGGTGTGAGTAAGTAACAAGCGGACGTCGTGTGGAAGAACATGGGGGAGAAGCAGCCGAATAACCACTGGGCCAACCAGATCGCTATTCCAGCAATCGCTTATTAAAATCATTGCACAATTGTACGTGGCCAGCCCCTTCCGTGTCGTTATCGAATTAGAAAGATATAACAGTAAGAAAGCACAAAACGAACAGAAGGGCGAAAACAGACATGTACAAGCTATCACTTTACAACAACATATTTTTGACGCCAGCGAACTCTGCACCAACAAACGTCGGTGGGGAAGTGGGGAGGGAGCGAGAGGGTGAAGAAAAGGGGGAGAAGGGTGCGAGAGGAAAGAGAACGGGGGAGATATGACATAATTAAATAATTTTGTTAAACTTAGCCTTGTCATTTACTTACGCACTTGCCAGCTAAACTAATCTCAAATATGCTTGGTAAACTTAATATCGTGACGTCTCCCGCGGTATTGAGGCGATTTTGGAGGTAATCACCTCGCGTTGTTGAATTGTTGTAATCTTCAAAATATTTGTTCCCATCAACTTTCTTACAATAACAAAATAAATAATTCTTGCGTAATTTTGATCTTTGTTTACTTTGAAAACTCTGGACATCTTACACTTGTTAGACTCCATGCCATACGAACGAAGGCTGTCTCGCACACACCAGCCTAGGGATGTTGAATAATTTAGACCACTTTGCGCATATCCATAGGCAACCCATATCTTCGTTACGTAGTGCTTCACATACTCCGAGGCGAATATGACACAATCGAAATAGCGAAACAATCAATCAGCCTCGTAAACCCGCTCGACCAGTCCGCTGAAGTTTTGCACAATTGCACACGTCGCTGTTCCTGCCTCGTATTTTTATTGTTTTCTCTCGCCCCTAGCGGGGGCTGAATCATTCGGCACTGGCCGTGATCGTGCATATCTCTGAGGAGAGCACCGCGCTCAGTTATTGCCCTCCCCCACTTTCTTCGTTCTTAAAGCAAATGTTCCCAGCTTGCACAACGAGCGTGTTTGACTCAAGCGTCGGCTAGTAGGGCGGTAGACGCACTAGGCGTCACGAACTTTCACAATGCCAAAGCGAATTTTTTTCCTTGTATTGTTCATTCAAAGGCTTTCAGAAACACATATCACGCGCGCGATGTGTCTCCCACGCTACAAACTTCCTTCGTACCTGCTTTTGAAAAGGAGTGTTACTTTTTGTCTCAGAAAGAGGCTCGTAAACTCTGGAGTTTGTACTGGTCCAGTTCCAATAAAGAAAAAAAAGAAAGTGAAATGAAGAAAAGAAGAACAGAGGAGCTTTTATTCTTGTAAAAACATCTCGAAACTGAGTGCTGAGGCTCTCATCCTTGTGTTCCGCTGACTCAGCACCGTGAAACTGCACGCTTCTTGGTGACGCATTCGAAGTAACCTAGATACGGGGCCTTTCTCTACGCCGCAGTGTTGCGTTTCCTCTTCCTCGAATCTTTTATTGCAACAACCATCTCAAATGAAATCCTGATTATTTCCTCACCGTAGTTCTTGTTTTACTTCTCTTGTAAATCGCGTGCCATTTCACCACTGGTCATAAAAACCAGAACGCGCTGCGTGAACACATCATGTCTATAAATTAAACAAGTAAACTTGAGGCAGCCACTATCACCTTCCTCTATAACAAGATCACTAGATTACAGTGTTCTTAATATTTTGTCATGTTAGGAGATTTTTTTTTTCTCGTATATATGCCCACTCACTTTGTATGACACCCGTTCGAGCCCTCAAAAAATATGATGTCATGATGATAATGGTTTCTTGCGCTGTAGAGAGAAGATGCTCTTACATAATCACCCATAGCCCGATGCAACATAAGAACTGCGGGACCAGACTCTGCCTCCGAATTCCCAGAAAGATATAACGCCACGCGCGACTATGGGCGAACTCACAATTTTTATGACGTCACGGAAAAGGAGGAGCTTCCGCCAGCTTTCTTTCCAAGTGTGACGCACACACAGAAAACAAAAAAAATCAAGGATCCCCGCCAAAGCATCCCGCACTTCACTTCGTTTCACAGTGTTTTGAGCAGAGCGTCATTTTTGTAGTTGGCAGAGTGTCTCCTAGTGCTCTTATGCTGCAAATATTCCCTCACTTTACGATGCAACATAAAAAAATATATTTATGTATATATCTGGAGCCATTGAAAAAGAAATTAAATGCCATGCGGGCGTCACGTGACCTTTGAGAAGCTCGCAGCAACGCGCAAGGCTCGTAGTCACCTCACACGCTCAAACCGCCGGATTGGCTGGGATAGAGTTCCTGTATAAGCTTCCTACGGGAGCCAGAGTTGCGCGTCTGTTTTCCACGTGCCGCCGCGCCGCTATTCGACGAGATGCGATCACGTGAGGATCCGGATCAAAAGCCATGCAGGAAAGTAGACGTTGCACGCGCCCCGACAGTACGTTCCCCCACTTTTGAGCGCGCTGCGCACCTCGAACGCGCGGCGCCGCTATTCGCCGAATTCAGTCACGTGAGGAGCAAGATCAACATGCCGTGCAGGAAAGACGGCGGTACGGGGATGAACGCGCAAATCTGGCTCCCGTAGGGAGCCTATACAGGAACTCTAGGCTGGGACGGCTCGTAGCGCCACCTGCCACTCATCGTAAGATGAAACGCAGTATACACCAACTCCACTCTCTTACGTCACGCCACGGGGGTGGCGCTGCCGTCGGTATTTCGCATGCGCAGAAGTTTCTTCTCACGCGATTATGATTCCTGCGCACGGGTAGTGCCCACATCTGGTGTGGGCACACACGGGCTTGTTTGTAAACAGCTGTGATGGTCTAGAGGAACGCAAGTTGGTCTGCTTCTTGAGCAGGGGTTGCGGTGACGTCAGAAAGCCGAGCTCTGATTGGGTTCGATTGGAAGAATAGTGGCCAGAACTGAGGGCAGCTAGCATTGAAATCTACCCACTATCCTTGCATTAGAGCCAATCAGAGATAGGTGTTTTGGCGTCAGTGCAACCCCTGCGCAAAGAAGCAGACGAACTTGCGCTCCCTATAGGAACGTCGCGAACTTTCATTCAACCTCGAGGTTCGACTGGTTTGGTGAAGCTTCGAACTTTGGGCGAAATTTGATAGAGTTCGACTTCTTCAGTCAACAGTGTTTCCTAACCTTAGTACAAAAACTTCAACCTTCGAGGAAAAAAAAATATAGATATAATTCGTTTGAAGTTTTACAGACTAATTATGATTAATATAAATGCTTACAGATAATATGAAAGGGAACATATAAACCTTTTACCTGTTTAGATTGCTGGTTACAGCGCAAAACAATATATCCACTAAATGCTGCATCGCCCTCCGTCCGATGGCCCAGGACCGTTTCGAAATGCTACGGGTGCGTGTTACATTCCAACTTTGTTTGAGTGTTCTGTCAAAATTTACGTTAAAAGTTGAAAGTGGTCAATTTCTCGTCGAACCCGAAGCTCGAGAGGTCAGTGACATCCCTAGATGCAACAGACTGCGCTAGCGCTCATCACGCTAGCCCGATTGTTGCACGATATGTAAAATTTGGTTAGAAAACTCACATTCACGCACAACCGCACATACAAAAGAAAATATAATAAAAGACTACACGCAGTACTATATGATAAAAAAGACGTGGAATTACTGTGTTTGTTTCTCTCTCTGCGTGAGATTATAGATACGTAAAGCTCGGCGCACCCGATTCTATGAGAGCTCGTAATGTTGAACAATGTGTGGATTTTCTTCTTTGTCTCGTTTTTGTACTGCTAATCTCAACGGAAATTTAATCCTACAATTCCGTTCACTTCCAGCTTGAAGTTTCAACACTGATCGTCGCTCTCCTACCGACAGTGGTACGGACGGCGCCCACCCTCCTCAATGGCGTCGTAACTAACCGATTCCGAAACGATGACGTAAGTACCGCTATTTCGAACGTAAAAAACCTTGTACACTTCAAGCGTAAAATTTGAAATTGCGTTAAAATAACAATGTGATAAAGTAGCAGTTTATGCGGTGTTTTTTCTCTGTGTCGTGTTCCTGAAGTGTGCTATTCTAAAACAAATTTCGAATATTCCACGGGAAAAAATGCGGGCGAGCTTGTGAATGGCATCCATAGTAAACCTGACACAGAGAAATAATAAAAAAAACAAAAAAAAAAAACGGACAGAGTTATCAAGTCTCAATTGTTGTTTTGTCCGTGTTTGTTTTTTCTTTAATTTTTGTTTCTCTGTTATGGGTTCACTATGAATATCCAATGATCTATTTTGCTTTTCTTCACTATATAAATTCGTTAATAATTATCGATATAATCGAAGGAAGCAAGTTATGGACAGAGAACTAAATTTGTAATGATTAAAACTTCGATTGGCTACTAGCGTCAAAGAGCTATGTATGATTAATTATTCTGACTTTAATTGATGTCCAATAAAAAAATGAAAGACGTTTATAAATCTCTGTAATGCGAAATTTGAGCGCAGCTCTTAAGGAGGTGGAGGGGAGGGTATGTACCTCCTCCTCCTCCCTTTCCTCCACTCCCCTCGTCCTCCAATTCAGTTTCCAGCTAAATTTAACGGGTAAAATGACGTCACATGACTTGGCATCACGTCACCTATGAACGAATACAGCTTCTCCGCTTGATTTGGAGAGAAAAGTAACGTCACGAGACCACAAAACCATTTCAATTCCCCGCTAAATTTAGCAAAAATTTTATTGGGGTTGAGGTCATGTGACGTGAATTTTTCCGCTAAATTTAGCAGGGAATTGAATTGGTCTTCAAGTCAAGTGACGTCAGTTTTGCCGATAAAGTTAGCGCGGTGACGCCGAACCGACGCCGACACCAACGCCGCGAAACAGAAATGGGTACTTAAGAACTGCGCTTTAAAAATAAATGGCTGATGAAGATTTAGCTTGGATGTGCAAGGAGAAGTTATAAACTCAACATCGTTTTCTCAGCTGGAGTGTGAATATGCAAGGAAGTATAACTAGTAATTGTACAATAAACCACCGATTAGCAAAAGCAAAATTTGAGAACCGTGTTTCCTTTTTCTGTTCCTCAGTTTCGCAAGTCTTTTTATTTTTCTAAGCGACATTGCATTAGCTTTTTTTAGTTTTAATTATTTTCTGAAGTGTAACTGAGATGAACTAACAAAAAAAAAAGAAAAACAGTAAATGAGTTTCCTTATATTTAACATAGCTAGACTTGTGAGTCATGGCAGGGGAAAATCGGGTATCTGGTTTTATATAATGAATATTTTTATGAAGCAGTAATTGTACACAAATATATCCAAAGTTTCATTTAAGAGTAAAGAGTGTAAAGTAGACAATACATCAGCAGGGCGATAGGCTACCAATAAGCAAGAAAGTAAGTTCGATGCCCTTTCTGAAGAATTCCTTAAAGTAGAAACAATTTACGGCAAAAGGATATACTGTTACAGAATATTTCTCAAGGCATTTAATTACGCAACGATCATCTCGAGTCTCTTGAGCTAAGTAATTCACTTTATGTAACCTCCGCAGGGACAAGGCAACTATCAGTTCGGATACGACTGGACCCATCCAGGCGGAGAGGGCGTCTTCCAGCGGGAGTCGGGGGACTCAGCGGGCCGCAAGCAAGGCTCGTACGGCCTGAAGGACGCAGACGGCCGCGTGCGCGTTGTCAGTTACATCGCCGACGAGAACGGGTTCCGTGTCAGCGTGTCAACCAACGAACCGGGCACCAGGCCCTCCGCTCCCGCCGACGTTCGCTTCCAGCTTCCGGACGCGCAATTGACGAGCACCGCTTTCCAGAGTCCAGCTCCCACCTTCCAAAACCAGGCTCCGACGTTCCCGAGCCAAGCGCCGACCTTCCAGAACCGCGCCCCAACTTTCCAAAGACGAGCGCCATTGGACAGAGTGAACCTCGCGCGATCGCTAGAGCCAGCGCCTGTTCTTTACTCGCAGCCAACCGGAGTACTTCCACCCTACGTACGGCGTGTGGTGTTCCAGCCTTCGAACTTAAGAAAGAGCTAGACGTTTTGGTTGAGTAGCGTAAAAGAAACGTCTTACACTCTGTTTTTTAATAATATTAGTAAATGTACGAATGACGGATCCCCTCCAATATTCAGACGAGAGCAGCTCGCGTCGGATCCTATACAAAATTGCTTCAAACTCTCCCGCGGAGCAAATTACAGACGCAATGCCCCAATCTTGATTTTTTTTTCGGTTGATGAGGTTGTTTTTTGTTGTTGTTGTTTTTTGCCTCCATCAGCACTAGCTCTTTTTCAACGTTCTGTGCTTAAAATGAGCTTCAGGCATCCAAGTGCAGTAATAATACGAAGAGGAATGTAAGTACAAGACGTTTTCGGGTCAAAAGAATTTAGCAACGTAAAACTGGTACAGGACGACATCATATGTGTTCCAATTTAATTAAAATTTCGCTCTTTACACTTTTCTGACTATTACCATTCGTGACATACATTCCAGACTTTTCTGTTACAGACACTTAACTTATGAGCATAACTCCGAGGATTTTTAAAAGCACATAAAAAATAATGCTTGTAAGGGTAATCCGGCAGCCGCGTCCATTATTGAACCGAAAATAATATAAAGCACGGTAACACGTAAAGATCTTGCTTTGAACCTGTGAACTAATATTCATTCACTTCAAACGCCAATACCAAATCGAATTGCCATGCGTGTTTTGAATAGTTTGTGCTTTTATTATTCTCATTTGAATCCCTTGTGTTCCTTGTACCTCGTACGCCCAAAGTCGAGTTCCCCTTTTCACTGCACGGTTATAAGGGTGTCAACATATCTGTGATTGCATCGCCATCGTCTCGTAAACATAATATCAAAAATGTCCTCATGGGAATTTTTGAGCCCATGAGAGCAAAAATGCCCTCATGGGCTCATAGATTCATCGAAATGTCAATTACTTTATTTCCTTAATCAAACTAAAGTCAGGGAGAACGAGTGATATCCTGTTTCAATTATCCTATTGTTCCAATAGACAAAACACTTTCTTCCTATCCATAATCTTCCTAAATTAACTAACCTTGATTTCTCAGTGAACGACTACTTTCTGAATAAATATTTTCATCGAATCACAATGTCTTAGCGTCTTCCTTATTTTTCAGTTATTTTTATGATGAAAAATATGTGGGTGGGTTTTTGATGTGAAACAGCGAATGGCGTTTCACGTTCTTACATCATGTGAGGCACTCTGTAAACTTTATGCTTTGATCTAAAATCATTTCGGCTGCGCCATTTTCGAAAAGAGCCCCCTCCCCCCGCCCCCCCCCCCCCCCTCCCCGTAGCTCAATGATTTTGAATAGAAATAAATTTGGATCTTAATACATTCGAATTTTAATCCAAGTAGCCGGCGCGTCAAGCGCAACTTTAAAGTTATTTTTACTTTTTCTTAGAGAGGATTCAAGTACTTTCTTCTACCGTTCTTGAAGCTAAATTGTACTGTCTTTTATGGCATAAACGAAGCAATACATTACACATTCCTACCCTGAATGTTATGTTAATATTTGGGAAAAGAATACAAATATGTCTCTTTTTCTTAACAAAGCATTGTTCCATGCTTTTCTTGAATAATATTTTTATTAGAATAATAATAAACACAGATTTTTTTTCCTTCACTAACTTTCCTTAAAACGAAGAATTAAAAATGATTTGAAACACGCCAAGAATACCTATCATTACACCTCGAAACCCGATAAAATGGAAGATACTCGTTTCCACTTTCCCACTGTCGATTTTTGAATGGTAACTTGTACCAACACACTTTTAAAGTATTTGAAAGCAAACATTCTCGGTGTAAACTACTTTTAAAGTAGTTTATACCGAGAACGCCCATATTTCCATCTAACTCCAGGTGTCTTAGAAAGGATTAGAAATATATATCTTTAGTAGGGTCACACACACATAGATATATTTTTTCGGTTCCTACAGAACTAAATCATTCAGGGTGATGTAAAAAAAAATAAACGAACAGAAAATCAAAGATTGTGAATTGCCATCCGGACGAACTAACCGCACATCCTTCAGCTCGCCACAAAGATGTTAACTTGTTATACCTTTAAGTTCGTAGTTATGCACTGCATGGTCGATTAAAGATAAGACGAGGAATATCGGTATAATATCTCAACATCTCTTCAAGGCCTCGTAAACTGAATGTCACAGAAAACTGATATCGGTCAAAAGCACGTGCTGCTCGCGATCGACTTAACGTACACCATCCTTTGCGCGTAAGGTGCTGCATCTTTATTCTGGGCTAAAGGTCATCCCAGCGCTCACCTCGGAAAAAGATTTTCCAGGGTTGATCCTTCTGCTGCTTCGGAATACATAAGCGTGAGATGCTAGAGAATTTCGCTTTTCACGATCTGCGGCAAAATTTTAAATTTCAGAAGTCAGTTACTTTAGAGGTCTGAAAATATTGGTATGTTTTGCCTAATTTTTGGTACGAGATGTTTAAAAAAGCAAGATATTTTATTTATGCGGATCGGACATGTAATGCGTTCGTCGGAAAACATTTTGAACAAATTTAGTGATTCATCTATCTGTGTACTTTCGCTCCCTTAATTACATATTTTACGTGTAACTTTCTCATTACGTTCACCTTGTACTATAACAAAAAAAATTCTCCCACATTACGGTTTCGTTATTCGCAACACACGATTAAAATCTCAGAGTCATTTTAGGGGGTAAACAAAAGTGCAAAGGATACCCGGAATGGGTATCTTTTGCCCTTACGTGGCAATTAAACTTTTTGGGTGGGACTTACAGGCTCGACATCAAGACGCATTTTTAATGAAACAACGAAACCCATGAGAATCCTTACTCAGACACCGCACCTTATCACCACACAGCACGTTTCCTATCGAAATTTTGTGGCGGTTGCGCTATATATTATTCTAAGGCTCTATCTGTGACTTGTGGTGTTCCACAGGGTAGTATATTAGGGCCACTGCTATTTAACATTTATGTTAATGATATTGTAAAAATTGACTATAGTGCCAAATTCATTATCTACGCTGATGACACTAGGATTTTCTTTGCCGGCACTGATATCCATGAATTGGTAGATACATGCAATCGCACAATGAAAGCACTGGAGAACTGGTCAAAATCTAATTCCATGCAAATAATTGAATTAAAAACAAAAGCAGTAATATTTAGACCGAAAAATAAGCCGATTCCAGTGCATGGAGATATCTTCCTTAATATGCTCCAGTAGAAATTGTGGAGCACTTTAAATCTCTCGGTGTCGTGTTCTCTGCAAATATGTCGTGGGATAGTCATATAAACTATTTAGTAGGCAAAATTGCTCAGATAACTGGAGTAATAGGTCGTGTTAGATATCGTCTTCACACAAGAATCAAGTTACTTCTGTATAATTCACTCTTTTATTTTCATTTGAATTACTGTCCACTAGTATGTGAGCAACAAAATTTTCAAGCATACAACATGTTTATTTGGTACAAAAAAAAATGTCTTCGTCATATTTACAATGCGCCCTACAGAGCGTCATGTGCAAACTTTTTTTATCGTTCCCACGTGATCCCAGCATACAACCTATATAAATATCGATTGAGTGTACGGTATAAATTGGAAACACCGAGGAATATAAATATTATGCGTAATGCGGCACAACTACAAATAAGAGAATTGAACTATACTACAAGACACGGAGTGAATTAGGTAGTACCTACACCTCGTTTAAACTAGAGAAAAGAATTCCGTCATTATTAAACGCTCATCAGCTTATGCTTTTTGATTTATTCGCCTGTGTTTACAGTGAACTCCGTGCAATGTCCGTAACCATGGGAGTATGATTTTTGTTTTCTATGCCTATACACCTTTGCGTTTTCGTTGTCATTATCCTTTTTATGCGTGTTCATTCTTCCTACCGTAGTGCTGGTTAGTTGCCATTAATACAGGAACTGTGGGCTCGTCATGGTGCTACGCGCAGCTTTTTTTTTCACAGCCCCTCCATCTGTATTTTTACAAGGTGGAAATAAACTCATTTGATTTTATTTGATTATACTAATCCTCGTTGACGCCGTTAGCAGCATCTGTTTCATGCGCCGGGTGCCACAAGCTTTACAGTAATGGACAATGCAACCCGAAACGACCAAGATCGAGATACCACTAGTCCCCGGTTAGAGTCACTCAATAAATTTCGCTTAGAGTTTTGACCCCCCATTCCCCGAATGTCTCCAGGGTGTGTGTTGCCTAGGGTGGAGTGGGTACAGGTGGCGATAGTTACAATTCAAAAATATGACTTTCTGGGATTTGGACACGGTGACAGGAGGCTGGGGTGGTATTGTTCTGCTTTGTGTCGCGGACTGTTTCAACGTTCCTGGAATACGGGAAAAGCGATTTCTGAGATTTCAAGTAAAGATTCAGTCTTCGAAAAACTAACAACCCTTATTTTCATCTACAAGATGACCGGCGCGCGTTTTTACTTCTAAGAGCTGCTTACTTAGTTACCCCAGCCAAGACCTGTACGGTACGCATTACACGCAATCAAAGTACATGTGATGGATTAATTTCGAAGTGCAGCTCTTAGGCGCCCGTTTCCGGCTTGGGCGGCGTCAGGGTCGGCGTCGGCGTAATCGCGAGCACCCCCCCCCCCCCCCCCCCCCCCCCCCCGAGGTGCCCCCGAGGACCTCGGGAGGACCTCGGGAGGATCTCGGGTTCCTTCGGGAAGGACCTTGGGAGAACGTCGAGTACTTTCGGTGACCTCGGTTAGGGGTGGGTTACGTGACCTCCCCGAGGTCACGTGACCCCCCCCCCCCCCCCCAGTACCCTTCCCTCCTCCTCCTCAAGAGCTGCGCTGCCTTTATCTCTGTCCCCTACGCGGCAAACCCGCGAAACAAATAAAGAAAAAAAAAAACAAATTCGGCGTTACAGGGAGTGGTAAACGGCTTTCACTTTTTTGGAGTAATTTCTTAATCATTTGTTATATTATCAAGTAATCAAACAATAATCAGAATACTTTTGGAAGTACTTAAATTATT